TGGTGACTGCAGAAACGACAAGCATTCAAATAGAAGCTCTGTCGGATGACGAAAAATGGCCGACACGTCCGTTGGAAGCCGGTGTCATCATTTCTGCACCAGCTTTAGCAGCGTCGTCGTTGGCAACTATGCCAACGTCACCACCGGGTGTCGGGACACCGATCGCATTCCTGGCCGACGATGATGATCGAGGTTAGCATTTTTAATCGTGTAACGACCTCGTTATAACGAATTATTGCTTGCAATAAGAGAATTAATGAGAGAGAAAAATTGTTACTGTTTTGCTTTCTGTCATCAATTTTCTACTGCAGGCATTTTTTCGCATTGATTTTGCTCTGATTTCTAAATTACCTTAGATTAGAAATTGAGAAATTTTAATCAATTTTCTTTCTGCCAATTTTTTTTTAAAACTTATGTAGAGTATTTTCACGATGATTCAACAGGTTTTATCGGGAATCCGATCGCAAATCCCTGTTTTCGATGGATCGTTTCACGTTTTGATTTATTTCATTAATTTATTTTTTCTTGAAACAAAGGTTTGAAAAAAGTTACAAAGAAGTCGAAGCTGAGACACAAAACAAAAAGCAATGCGACGAATTCTGAAAATCATCGAAAGAAATTGAAAGCACCTGTGCGGAAGACAAAGTCCATGGATGCCGTGAATTCAAAACGCGCTGATCGCAAGTGAGTATACCAAAATTTTAAAAATTGTTTCAAGTGAATGAATGGACAAATTAAAATTTCAGGCATGAGCTAAAGACGAATTTTTATTTTTCTGTCAAAACGCATTCAAATTCTTAATTTTCGTTGATTTTTTCATCTTTCCTTCGGAGCAATTTATGCTCTAATATTCATATTAGCCTTAATAATTTTTTCCTCTCATAATATAAATACCGCAAAATGTGTCATTTATATCTTTAAAAAAAACTCTTTTGCTTTGCGGAGCAAAAAGTTTCTATTTCGAACGAATATCGTGCAAAGATAGATGGATTTTTTTGATTTTTTTTTCATCTGAAAATTGAAAAACCCTGAAAAAATTATTAAATTAGAAAAAAATCTCGTTCAAGGTCTTGGTCTTTTCCGAAGAATTTTGGCGACACTTCCATTTCAGGAAAAAGTCTTGAAAAATATTAATTTTCTAATGGAATATTTATCACGAAATCTAAAAAAAGAAAAGAATTGATAACAAGGTAAAGCATGTTCTCTAAACAACATCACCATCTCCTGATTCCCCTCTTTTTTCAGATTGACTCTAATTTTCTGTTTATTATTCCTCCTCATCTGTCAATTTTTTTTTTTTTTTTCAGAGCACTGGCAAAGGCGCGAGAAGCTCTGGCGAAACGCCTGCGCCAAGAGCTGGAAGCCGAAAAGGTCCCCGCCAAAAAGGAAGCCATGA